GAAGCATTTAATTCTGAAAATGAAAATTCTTCAGCAAGAAATTAAAGCTATTGGATATAAACTAAATGATTCAGCAACCATGGCTGAGTAAGTAATAATGCTGAGAATAACATTCTGGGGAGGAAGTGAGATGACATAAAAATGAAATTGATTTGTGCCATAAAATTGGGGACCTGGAAAGCAGAGAGAGATATAACAGTTCAAGGTTTTACAGAAAAGTATGCTAGACTTAATGTAGAATCATTTATTATCAGCTGGCCGACTCAGGTGTTAAAAGTAGATGGTAGTGTTGCACAAATGATAGAAACAGCACATGAAGTTGATACATCAAATAAATCATAGTGATCACTTTATATGTTAAAAATGTGCATGAAAGTAAAGTTTCTTCATGGCAAGATTTGGACACTAGATAGAAATACAATTTGCTGAATGGACAGTGCTAGGGGTAAAAACAACAAAGTAATGTAACAAATTTAAGGATAATTTTATCAGTAAAAAGTGGTAAAAAGAGGTGACTGAACCTGAATATAATAAAGTTGCCTAACAGTGGAAAAGTAAGAATCCTCAAAAGTCACACCTTCAAATGATAAATTCTTCTTGTAATATGATTGTTGCTGAAATAATACAAAAAGGGGACTTTTTAATCATTAGAACAAATCCAGAATCCATTCTGTGGCAAAACTTTTAATGGTCAAATGCAAACTTATAATATAGTAGTTTCTTTCAACCCCCCAAAAACCACATTTTGGAGGCCCAAATATTAAAACCATGTAAGGTTCAGAAATGAATGAGAAGGGCTTTAGAAGTTGTATGTACAAGTGGTCCTTGGTTTATGCCTCAATTGGGCCAGAATTTCCAGATAGAGTATCTCTGTCTTTAGATGAGGAAATTTCTTGTGGATTTTCCCAACTGGAGTCAGTGGGAAAGCCAGCAGGAAGTTGCAAGCCCCAGGCCAGCTGGTAGGTAAGCAGTGGCAGGTGAGGAAGAGAGCAAGGGGTATGTGGGAGTCATGGAAGGCATGTGTAGGTCAAGGAGAGTGTGCAAGGGTGTGAGTGTTATGTGTCATGCCCCTGTTGGAGTCTGAATCCGAGGAGGAAGACGAACAGCTGACAGGAAGCGGGTGTGTGGCTCTGTTGGCTGTGGAGGAAACTGGGGAAGGGCAAAGTCAGACTGGGCAGAGCAGGAGAGAGGTAGAACAAGGGAGTTCAGAGGAAGACCCAGGCCCACCCCCTCTTCATCCTAGGGCATGCAGGGAAGAACGGAGAAGAAAGCAACGTGGGTTGCAGGCTTATGGGGGAGGAAAGGTCCCTGATTCCCTTCATTAGGCATAGAGAGTTTAAAGGAGAGGCAGCTGAGAGCGGCATTTTCTGGGAACAAACGTGAGTTTATCTTGTGTTCACTGTGGTTATCTGCATTCTTGGCAATCTCACAACTGGGTTAATTTTCTGCTGTTCCTTCACTTCTAGAACTCCTTATATTGCCCTGCCGGGTTAATTACCTCATCTTGCCTTGATTGGACTTAATTAAAATTTATTATAATATGAACTACAAGTAGAAACAGAGATCAGAAAATACAGGAAAAAGGAGAAAAGGGAGAAAGAATGCTAGGGAAAAAAGTAGTAATTGGGCTTTTTATGCCCTTAACACAGGGCTGTGAAACTCCCAGCCTGCGGGCCAGATGCATCACATGTATGCCCGGTTGAGCAAAGGGGGGGAAAGTCCAGATACATTACGGGACAATGATGTGACAACTTGAGTTTTACACCCCTGCCTTAACATGGGAGAGGCAATTGGGCAAAAAACTGGAATGTTGCGGACTCCTCCATTTTAAGCCTTCCCTTTTCCTCCCCATCTGATGATTCAGAGAGAAACTATTGTAGTAATTCCAGAACCTAAACACAGGCTTAATTTTTTTCTTTTTGGGCAATATTTTGCCTGAAATACTAGAAACATGAACAGTACAAATGTTTTTGAGTGCTTTGTTCATTTTATGCTCCAATGCATTGCTAAGAAGACTGCATTTGCCCTAATCTGTGATTTAAACTTTAATTCAGGGGAAGATTCTCACAAATGCATTCTTGGTCCAACATACAGCCCCTTGATTAATCTCAGAATGTACAGAAAACTTTATGTAGAAATATATATTAATGTTCAGTTCTATTTTGATAAATACGACAACCAAATTCAGCCAATAGGATACAGCAGATGTACCCTGCTACCGGTATAATTTTTTTGTCAAATAGTCTAAGAATTAAATTTATTTTTCTGGTTCGTTATTTACTGTGCTTCGATTTGAAAAAGCCCATAATGTATTCTGTAACAGATAAGCAAAAAAATAAATAAATGTATTTCTCTTTCTCTAATGTAACACCTGCCAGATATGTACGATCTCAGCTCCACAGCGGCTAAAAAGCTAAGAATGGAATTAAAATCCAACACACGTGGACTCACACACGCCATAGGAATAAGTGCACGGAGTGTCACGGCTTGCGAGTTTTTCTCTCTGCAAGAATGGATAACAATGAGTTAGTGAAGATGGCATCTTCGCGTTTCCATGGAGGTTTAAAAACCCACAGTGGACTTCTGAGCACCTTATCAACAGGCCCGCAAATGGACGCTTAACCGAAGAAAAAAAAAATTCGCATGCTTGCTAACTCAGGTCGCGAGCCCCAACACTTCCGGAGAAGAAGAAGAAGAGGGAAAAAAAGCCCGAAGGTAGTTCGGTTGTGCCGACAAAGAAAGAGAGGCGTGATCAGAGTAACTTTACTGCTTTCCTGGAGGTAAGGGCAACGTGCCTTCTACCTTGGCAACTGCGCATGCTCCGATGGAGAAGACAACCGCAAGCTAGGGGGAGCCAACTCCGAAAAGAGGCTGGTAACCCTGAGCCTGTGCTTCCTTCCCCGATCGGTCCATTTTAAATCTTCCGCCTCCTCCGCCGTTGCTCCCCCTCCCCCTTCTTTCGAATCCTTGCTTGAACTTTTCAGTCCGGTTCTGCAGACGGGTGAGTAGCAAGGAGAAAGGCGCCAGGGGGTAGCGCTTGCTGTGGATGCCGCCTCCTCCTCCTCCTCTCCTGCGGTCTTCCCATTAGCCCGCTTGCCTAGGGATAACGCGGAGGGGGCGGGGAGTCCCCGGGGGTGGTGGGGAGAGGATAGATCCCCTCTCCTCTGCTCTTCGGTTGCGGGGAAGGAGAGCCTCTGCCTGCGCAGCCCTTGCGGGGATCTCGAGTGGAAGAGGGCTCCTCGGTCAGGTGCAGAGCTATTAAAAGCAGCAAACAGGAGCCTTTGGGCTGGCTGTGCAAGAGAAATAATTAGGCCAGATATCGGTTACTCAGCTTGGCTGGTTACGTGAATATTTGTGTGTGTGTGTGTGTGTGTGTATATCTCTGTGAAGATTCTCAGTCATTCAGGTCATTATTGTACCAAAGGTGCTTTTCTTTTTCAAGAGGCAACTTGGACTTTATGGTTTTTCTTTGAAGACGTTTCACTCCTCATCCAAGAAGCTTCTTCAGCTCCTTTGTGTGTGTGTGTGTGTGTGTGTGTGTGAGAGAGAGAGAGAGAGAGAGAGAGAGAGAGAGAGAGAGAGAAGGGAGTGGGGGGGGGGGAGGCAGAGTTATCTGGAGAGGTAAGATCAAATCTCTCTAATCCAGCTCTATCCTTGAAGACTTCATGAATGTCTCAGTAGGAAGGCTTTTTTCCTTTAGCTTCTTCCCAGGTTGTTCTTCTGGACTTCCATCTCCATCCTATTATAGCCTGGGATTTCTCAGTAGTCTCCCTTCCCTCTGCTAATAAGAAACAATTGTTTCCAAAGGCAGCTGAACTTGAAGAAGTGCTTTTCAAGATCAGCCAAGGTCAATTTCTCAACATGAGTGTGTGCGGGGTTTATTGTGAGACCCAACTATGATTATGTCTAGTCTAGACCTCCTGACCTTTTGCAGATGCTTGTGTCCCTCGTGTGGCATAAGCTTTGATCAATTACAATTCACATCAAGAAGCTTATGCCTTAACACATCCATGCTATTTTTGGGTTGTTATTTTTAATGTATCGTGAATATATCCGTTCTTCTGGAAACTGCTCATGATGTTAGTTGAAGATATCAATCAGAGTTCACCTTGTTTTTCTACATATTCAAATTATCATTGGTGGTTTTTTGTTTTTTTTACATATTGCACTCACTTCCTTAGTTGCCAATTTTGTTGACTATGTTGCTTGGGAATTGGGAGAGCTGTAATAATTTCAAAACTGACCCTATATTGCAAAACTTGTAAAATATTGTAAATCTGCTTTGGATGAACACAGAGAGTAAATGCAGACTATGTAATAAAGAAAACTTGATATTCTGTTAATGAGGCCTAATATTTTTCTTCAATTTTGTCATTACTGAACAAAATACTTTGGGAACTTAGTAAATCACAAGTTATAGGCAGATTTGCTGACTTCTAGCCTTCCTGAAACTGAATGGTAGATCACTAGGGATTGATCATTAAATGTTTATGTTTTGAACACCCATAACAACTCTTATTTCTCCATCCTCCTGTGTTTTTACCAGCTTAGAAAGCACACATGGAAAACATTCAACTTCTCTTTGTCTAAACTAATTTCTCCTGGCTTTTAGCAGAGGTAAAATTGTCAAAGATAAATGAGTTATGTCCTGCTTTTCTTTGTGCATTATGTATCTTTCTGACAACATATGTCATGTTCTCCATGATAATAGATTATATTTAGATTTACATCTAAAATCTAAACATCACTTAAGATATACCAATATAACATTAGTGCTTCATGAGCTGCATTAGCTCCTAGTATCTGATTTTCAGATACAATTCAAACTGTTAATTTCCAGCTACAAAGTCCTTCATGATTCAGGGCTATCTTATTCTGGACTATCCCCAATTATTTCTCTCCAACAGAGTGGGCATGGTTGGGTCTCCTGTATAAACCATGCCATTTAAGGTGCAATTTCTCTATCATAGCCTCTGCCCTAAGAAGGATTTATTCCTTCCCCCAAATCAGATAGGCCTGGCCCTGCAAGCCTTTCATAAGGCTTTGAAAACCTGGCTTGTCTCCCAGGTCTTGGGCCCGGTTTTTAGATGAGCTCATTCTTTAAAGATTAAGATAATAATTGTGATTGGCTTATTGGTGTTATGTTTTGCAATTTGCCTTCTGGGCTTTCATTGTGGCTTTCATTTGTTTACTTGTTTGTAACTCATTGTTAGGCATCCAGAGTTGGAATTACTAGTTGGGTGGCAATATAAACTGGGAAGTGTATGGAAATTCTTTGTCCTTTGCATTTTGTCTCCATGTTACAATCCAGATAGTAAAGTAAATGTGTCCCAAAATGGAGATGTTTTGTTCTTCTTCTATTGACTTGAACATGTCAATCCTTTGAGACTAGTAGAAGGGGGAAGCTTAAGCTGGTATGGTTTATATTACAGTAGTTCTTGTTGTCAGAGAAATCACATACCATAAATGATTTCTGACTTTCCCATCCTCTTCAATCCTCAAAGTACTAATAATGGGAAAAGCAGGACTGTGCTCAGTGTCTTTTGAATAAATGCCCTGTTTTATCAAGATGTTCATATCTATATCACTATATCTGAATGAGATACTTAAGGTTATAGAAATAAAGAGAGGGGTGTCAACCAGGAGATCAATAAACTCATTGAGAGCATGGCAAACAGAAGACCAACCTGCCTTCTTTCATTAGCCAACGAAGAACCGTGCCTGTTTTTACTTTTGTGTTCTTTTCTTATTCCTTTTGCTTTTTCTTTTAACCTGTTAGATATCGTCCTGGGCTGGGACTGTTTTATATTTTAAAGATAAAGGGTTCCTTGTCTCAATATTAGAACAGTTGCTTTATGTGTAGAAGATCCCAGACAGGCAAATATTGAAAGAAACATTGTTGTATTGTGCCACAAGATCCCTGGCTTTCATGACCCATAAGCAAATGGGTCTTGTATTGAACAACACTGAATTTGTAATTCCGCCCTTCCTTGCCCCTCCCCCCCCCATGTCCTCATTACCCCATCCTAGCAGATTAGCCAGAGACTTTTTCAGGTAGCCTGGGATACTGTTTAAGTAGATGAGGTACTGCATAGCCCTCTCAACAATGGGAAGCATTTCCAATTATTCAGGCTTGAGAAGGACTTTGAGCTACTCAGGTGACAACTTCCAGTTCTTTCACATGCTCATTGAACAGCTTGTTGAACTACTTTGCAGGCAAGAGAAGACTAATTGACTGACTGACCTGACTGACTGACTGAACAGGGATGGAGATTGATAAAGTGAGGAAGAGCTTTTCTCCATTGCATATCTGCTGTTGTCTGAACATCACTACCCTCATTCTTTCTATTTGAAACCCTAAGCTTCTATTGTGTATTTTCATGTACTGTATTATTAGATTATTTGCAAGCAACAGCTAGAAGCATGATGTGTCTTGTTTTCCATCCTTAATGCTTTTTGCAAAACAGAAAATATCTCCCTAAGTCAGCTCCTTCTTAACTTCTCCGTTTTGCTTTACTTTTCCACTTTTAGTGGAATTGTTATTTTAATTTGTGTTTGAAAGTCCACAGTAAAAATATCTCATAGCAATGCAATTTCTTAATATGCTGTAATAATAAAACATAAGAATTGGAAGCAATAATCTGCAGGGTGACAAGGGGTAATAAGAATATTTCTGCAATTAAAAATATTTAGAAAATAGGGTAATATAGATACTGATAACTCTTATTAAAGGGGGGGAAATATGCTGTGGAATCCAATTGAGAAGATGTAATGACTAATGGTTTATTGGGAATTAAGATGAGGGAATAAAGGTATATTCTAATCATTAAGGTGGAACACTTAAAATAGTAAAAGGGGAAACTTATACTTGTTCTTTTTTCTTTTTGTGTGGGTGTGTTAAGATCTGTATTAATTTAGAATTTATAAAAAAAAAGTGTAATGGAAAGGGAATGTGACAGACTAAAGAACCAGCTAAATTAATAAGCTTAATAAGTTTAATATAGATTATTAAAAGCAAGGAGAGACATTGAACTTCATTATTACCATTATTAGGCAAATATATATTGTTTATTTTTATTTTTAAAATAAATATTAAGGATTATACTTGAAATAATTGAAATGAAATTTAAAAATGTTTAGATTGGGATTAATGAAAGAATTTAGAATTAAACCTTATTATTATTTATTAGGCAAATATATATTGTTTATCTTTACGTTTAAAAATAAATATTAAAGGATTATATTTGAAATAATTGAAATGAAACAAAATTGATTGAAATTAATGAAAGAGGCTAGAATTAATGTGTTTGTTTCTCTCCTTACTGAAAATTTGGAATGGAAAAGGTAATAATAGAATTAAGTATGCATATATCAATGTATAATTTCTGTCATATTTGTATGTAAAGATGATGACCCGGAAATATGTTGTCCACTAAAAAGAGATTTTTCTTTTTAATGTGAAAACTGAATAAAGTCTGTTTAAAAAAAAAAAAAAGAATTGGAAGCAATAATTAGATAATTAAGCTCAATATCCTGTGTCTCTTATATTAACATCTTCCTTATAAAAAAGTATTAGTTTTGTTTCTATCATGGGGGTTGGGAAAGACTCTTGATTTTTTTGATAGAATTATTAATGGATCATAACATGAAAAAATGAGAACTGTAGCCTTAGAGAACTGGAGTGCTGTGATCAATACTAATAGCATTGAACTAGATGATACAATATGATCAACATAAATCAGTTCAGTGGTTTCCTATGTTAAGATGTATTCAGGGTTTAGGAAATTTTAGGTTATATATAAATATTAAATAATTCTATAATGTTAGAATGAATTTGGTTTAATTGATTGCAAAATTTAAAACTCTACAGTCATGTTCTTTTTTTCTTGTTTACAGGCAGCTGGACGCTTCCTACCTGTGTCCTGAACTACCATGATATCATGGCAAGATTTCGCAGGAGAACATGCATCGTTTTGTTGCTTTTTATTTTATTTATTTGCTCTATAATGATGGCGCTGAAAACTCTGAGACCAGAAAGAGTTGGGTTTGGAGATCCATTTGGTCTTGGCCTGTTACCAGATTTTCAGCAACAGACAACACATTTAAAAAAGAAGATCAGTCTGCATAAAGGAGCAAAAGAAGACAGTTTCCCAAGAACCAAAAGTGTTCATCCTCTACCGATGAATCTCAAAACACCTGCAACTTCTATAAGAAAAATGGAAGAGCTACCTCCTCCAAATTATAACTTCCATGTATTTTACTACAGCTGGTATGGGACTCCACAGTTTGATGGAAAATATATTCACTGGGACCACCCATTATTGACACACTGGGATCCAAAAATTGCAAGTGGTTATCCAAAAGGCAGACACAGTCCTCCAGAAGATATTGGCTCAAGCTTCTACCCAGAACTTGGACCTTATAGCTCTAGGGACCCATCTGTCATAGAAGCTCACATGAAGCAAATGAGATCAGCATCCATTGGTAAGTATTCCATCTCTTTCCACCTCGCTCCCCCCCCCCCAAAGCTCTTGTCTGTCCTACATCCCTTTGCTTGCTTGCTTGCTCTCAGCCTCCTCTCAAAACCTTGCAATCTTCACCTCATCTTTCCAGACCATTTATTCACCTTCTGATCCAATTTATTCACCTTCTGCAGCTCTTTTTTTTTTTTTTCATTTCCCTTCCTCATTCTCAGAAAACTCCCCTAAAACAAACTGGTTGCTTGCTTGCTTTATGCAGTGGTGGGAGCAGTAATGGTCATCCCTCAGTAACACCCCAGCTTTGTGAGCTGTTTGCCTTGTGAGTTTGCATTCTGGTGCAATTCAAGATACTGATACCCTGTTTCTCCAACAATATGGCCTCCCCCAATAGGAAGTCCCAGCATGTTTTATAGGCATGAAATAAAATTAAGCACCTCCCCCCAAATTAAGGCCTATATTAAAACATGCGAAATGGGGGGGGGGGGAATGGTGGTGGGGGCTTACAGTTAGGAAGTACTTTTGTTGCACACCCGGATATGGTGTTGCCTGCGTTGACCCCGATATGAAGTGCCCCACCAACACCGAGGTCAACATCCAAGCCATCGCTGCCCGCCCGAAGATGCAACGGGGGGGGGGGGTGGAATTAAGTCACCCCCGAAAAGACGGACTAGCCATTTTTTCGGGGCTCAAAAAAAAATAAGACCCGGCCTTATTATATGAGAAACACGGTAGTTATCTATAATCTTCACTATCTGGCATAGAGCCTGATTTACTTGAGGGACTGCCTATCTCCCATAGTATCTACCTGGCTGGTTTCATCAGGGTCGATGTGCTCCAGGCTGCTTCAATTAAACAATGCCATCTGTTAGAATCTGGGAAGCATGCTTGCTCTGTTCCCTCTAGAATGAGGCTTCCCAAGATCCAGAAGTCTTCCACCCAGGCTGGTGTTTTGAAGGGCCTTGAAACCTGGTTCTTCACTCAAGGCTTAACAAAATAGAGTGAAACCCCTTCACTTCATCCCTGCCCAATGTCTTGTTCTTGCCATCTTTTTGTGTATTTATTTATTTTACTCTGTATTATTGTATTTCCCTTGTTTTAGTATAGGTAATTCTCATTTAATGACACTGATTGAGACCATTTTTTTTGCTAAATTATGCGGTCGTAAAGTGCAATATCATTTGATTCTTCCAGTTAGCAAGAGCCGTTCCAATAGTCCCCAATTACCATTATTAAGCAAATCACTGTTGGTCATAAAGTGAGGACTCACATGACCATGACTTCTGACTTCCTCTCGGCTTCCCCATTGACATTTCTTTCAGGAAGCTGATAGGAAAAGTCATACATCGTAACCATTGGATGCTGCAGTGGTTGAAACTTTGAGGGCCAGTCGTAAGTGCAAACTATTGCTGAACAAGTGGGCATTAACCAAGGACCATATGTAACTTTTTAAAAAAGCAGCAGCAGAAAGATGTTTCCATCTGTTTCAAAACACAGCTGTGCTGTTGTTGTAGGTAAAATATAACAAACAAAAAATTAGTCCTAATGTCCTGTACTGATGAGAAAGCCGTAGCTGATTTTGCTATTGTAAAATATTAAAAAGTTAATTGATCCAGTTTTTGGAATGTGGCTTTCACTGCGGTATACAAGCCTAATGTGATTTTTGAGCTGATGGAAAATGTGCACCCCAGATCTGTTTGATATGATCATTTAGTAAATTGCATAGATCTTTTCCTCAGTGACTGAGTAAAAAGCCACAGAGTTCAGTAGTATAGAATGCCACTTGATGAATTGGCCTGTAATTTAAGACTTGAGCCCTTTTTATCAAGCCTTTCCTTTATATGTTAGAACTTACCCTGTCTTGTTACTCATGGCTTCTTTTGCCAGTTATTTATTAATTAATCAAATTTATAGGTTTGCCAATTAAACTTTTGGCTGTAAATAATCTAATACAGTGCCAACAAAAGAAAGTGATAGCCCCGAGATTAACATCTCAAACTCAGCAGCACATATTTCCTAGCCTACAACTAGAGAAAAAAGCCCAATCTTCAAGGCCAATTTAAAGGATATCAGGGCACCTTAATTTTTTGGGAAATGCTATTTAAGAAAGCAGGCATCCCAACAGAGAAAGCATGCCACTAAATCTCATCAGAGGAGCTTGTTTTAAAGATGGGAGCATGTCCACTCTTTCTTATCTTAGAGAATAGGCAGAAACACTGAGAGAAAGACAGTCACCCAGATAGTAATAGTAGTCCAGCCCTAGATCTGGTAAGACTTTGTGGATCACAAACAGCAAGATAAATTATGCCTGGAAGCTTAACTGGCAATCAATGCACCTCACACCAGAGAAAATTAGAACATCAATCACTGCCTTCACTACTTCCTTCTGGACCAGTTGTAGTTTCCAAGTGGTCTTTGAGGGCCACCTTATGTTGAGAGCATTGTAGTAGTCCACGTGGGAGGTGACTATGACTGGTATCATTAGTGACTATGTCATTATTGGTACTAGTGACTAATCATTAGTGCCTATGAGAAGGGATTCCAGTTAAGAAAAGAGTGCAGTGGTGCAACTGATGAATCTGGGGGAAAGCCTTCTTAGAGACAGCTGCCACTTGCTCTTTGAGAAGGAATTGAGTCCAGGAGAACCTTCAGATTGTGAATTTTGGAAAATGCTATCCAGTTTCCAACTAAAGATGGAAAGCCCTTGATGCGTTTCTTGGTTGATAGCTTGAAGTTGATACGTGCAGCTGGTATCATCAGCATATTAATGATACCCAACCTCATGCCAATAGATGCTTTCGCCCAAAGTCTTCATGTAGATGTTAAACAGGAGAGGTGACAGCACTGAGCCCTGTGGTGTCCACACGTCATCGGCCTATTATAACTGAAGTGGCTTATAGCAAACTTTAAATAAAAACTTCAAAATGTGGTTATTTTGTGAGGCTTTACAGAAAACATTCGGGGTGGTGGTGGGGTGGTATCAATTCAAATTTATAATAAAAAGGTATATGTTTTATTCCTTAGGGGTTTTGGCTCTTTCCTGGTACCCTCCTGTTATGGCTGATGAAAATGGAGAGCCCACTGATGGGCTTGTGCCTATAATTTTGGATATTGCACACAAGTATAAATTAAAGGTATAGTATTTGAAATTTGTAAAAACTAGCTGTAATGGGTTGAATAAAATAGTCTACACTGTTATAGCAATAAAATGAGTTGATATTTTATATCCATTTCTCTCAGATTAAATTCCATTGAACTCAGTTGGACTAGTTCTGAGTAGTCATACTTGTAATTGTACTATTAAATATCATTAATAATTTATTTCAGTAAAAGAGTGCTTACAAAATCCTATGTTGTTACCTTTCATAAGTTATATATATTCAAACCGACAGCAGTCCTATCTTTTAAATTAATTTTAATTTTGTACCATTCTAGTTAGAAAGCTATTTGAAGCAGTTATAGAGTCGTCTTCTTAGAAGCAACAGTTCCCTCTCTTAATTCAAAGCAAATATTACCAGATAAATATATATGTAAATATATGAGACTTTTCTATCTCAAAATTTGTTCTTAATGACAGTAACTTCTAATTCTTTTGAAAATGGAAGAATTGTCCTTAGTCAAAACTGAAATGATTGCCCTTAAAAAATGCAAGAGTTAAAAAATAATTGGCATGTGTTTGAGAAATCTAAGGTACAGTTTCTTTAAATCTAATCATAATTGGATTATTTAAATATTTAAATATTATTGTAAATATTATTTAAATACTTTGTCCCAACCCAGAATTGGAAATGACACTATTCCATCCCAGATTCTGAGTAAAAGATAACATGTACACTGGCTAGAAATTGTGTGAAGAAATGGTCAACATTAGCCTCTTTAGTAATGCGTTGTCATTATTGCCAGTTATCTCTTCCTTTCAAAGGATAAGGTTGATTAGGGAAGCAGGGGAGATGTGTTGGAGAAAATTGTTTGCTAATAAGGTAAATCCAATTACATATTCAGGTAGAAATTGCTGAACTGGAAAATTAAATAATTTGAACTGCCCAAACCCTAAAATCGATCCCAACACTAATTAAAACTGAACGTTTAATAAGTTAAGCATTTCTTGCAAATTAGTACATATATTTTTCCTGGAGACATTAATATCTTGAAATGCTGTTTCTCTGATAAAATAATCATCTAGTGAATTTAATATTAGGTGACTCAGTGCCTCTACAGTTTTGCACAAGGCTTGAAACTATTGGGCAGATATGCTTCAAAAATGAATCATAGATGGCAATGACACTGAGACTCTTAATCATTTGAAATTCCAGACACATTTCTCTTTTCACTGTCAGCACATTTAAATTTGATGTTCAGATTGGAGTTGGCAATGTGCTTATATTTTCTTTTTCTGTGGGCAAATTTAAAACGTCACAGCATTGTGTTTAGGTGATTTTTCAGCAGAGGAAAACATAGTTTTAATACTAAAGGGCTATTAACTTTCTCCTGGGTGTCATCTACCAGCCCTTTTTTTCTGGTTTAGTTAATAATGGCTGCCATATATATTTATTGTAGTACTATACTGTAATTGTTTTTAATTGTCTTTATGATTGTTGCTGCCTAGAGTCACATCTTAGAAGGGTGGCCATAGAAATTAATTAAATGAATAAAGCAAAAAATTAATTGACATGGCAGCATAGAGCATTTTTGTTCTGTGTTTGTAACGAATAGCTATGCTTTCCATTTTCTAACCAATCTGTGTTGGGTGACAACAGGACAAACTCTATTCCCATGTAAAGAACTAAAAGTTTCTTTTCCTTTAGTTTTTTTCTCTTATTTTTCTACTAAATGTGCAAATATAAAATAAAATTTATATTCTTCAGAAATAGAGGGCTACTGACTTTAAGATTTTTTCTGCTCTTTTGAGACATTCCATTTTTTAAACAAAAAAAAAACCTTTTTATGTTTCAGGTCACTTTCCATATTGAGCCATATAAAGACAGAGATGATCGTAGCATGTACAGCAATGTCAAGTATATTATAGACAAGTAAGAACTTGGTGCAATATTTGAATATGAATATGATAATTTTATTTTGTCTCGTCTGACTTTCTTATTTACCGTATTTATCGGCGTATAACACGCACAGGCGTATAACACGCATCTTCATTTTAAGAGGGAAATTTCAGGAAAGCGCCCGTTTCACCCCCACTCCCACCCCCCGCGCGCGCTTCAATCCACAGTGTCCCATTCTGCCTGCCTGCCTGCCTGCCTTAGTTTCTGGTTGTTTGGGAGCAGCTTCGGCTGAGAATAATAACTATTCGCCTCTTTTACTCAGCCGAAGCTGTTCCGATTCAACCATTAACGAAGGCAGGCAGGCAGGCAGAACGGAGCACTGCGGGCGGGCGGGGTGGGGGTGGGGGAGAAACGGGCGCTTCAGGGAAGCCCCCCCCCCCCCCCCCTCCCCCCCCCCCCCGCTTCTTTGAAGCAGTTTCTTCCTGTGCTGGTGGAGGAGCGAGAGAGCGACTGAGAGAGCTGACCCAGAGAGAAGGACAGGCTTCGGTTGCTTCCTCCCTCCCCTTCTTTCATTTGTGTCCTTGATCCCCGATCCCAGCAGCATTCACCGAAGGCTTCTTAACATTATATCGGCGTATAACACGCATACATCATTTGCCCCCTATTTTCAGGGGGAAAAAAGTGCGTGTTATACGCCGATAAATACGGTATATGTTTCATGGTGGTTTATCAATTAAAAATTAACTCCTTATCAATAGACACAGTTATCATTAAAATAAACTGAACTCCCATTCTTTTTGTTCAAATTCACAATATTTAATATCATTGATGTCATTTTTGTTACTGTGTCATGCAGCAACAAATAGGGGGTTACAAGCAGAGCAATTTGGTAATTTTATCTTCCTAATAAGACTACGTTTATTAAATTTGCTTTGCTGAGTTGCAGTTAATTGTGTTTAAAGACTTATCTAATGCTATTTATGACATTTGAAATGAAGTATAATTGAGAGAAAGGCAGGAAGAGTAACTTTTAAGACGATTAGAAATATATATATGAAACATTTACTTTTTTTTCTCCCCCCCCCCCCCCCCTTTTTTTTTTTTGGTTGTTTGCTTTTAGATATGGAGACCATCCAGCTTTTTACAGACATAAAGTCAGTACAGGTAGAACGCTTCCCATGTTCTATGTTTATGATTCTTACATCACAATCCCAGAAATGTGGGCAAACCTGCTCACAGTATCAGGATCTCATAGTATACGTAATACACCCTATGACAGCTTATTCTTTGCCCTTCTTGTAGAAGAAAAACATAAACACGAAATTCATCGAAGTGGCTTTGATGGAATTTACACCTATTTTGCCACAAATGGCTTCTCTTATGGTTCAAGCCATCATAATTGGCCCAGTTTAAAAGCTTTCTGTGACATAAAAAACTTAATGTTTATTCCAAGTGTGGGCCCAGGCTACATAGATACGAGCATCCGACCTTGGAACAATCACAACACACGCAATCGTGTCAACGGGAAATATTACGAGACAGCATTCAGTGCTGCGCTTCTAGTAAGACCTGAAATCATTTCCATCACCTCTTTTAATGAATGGCACGAAGGGACTCAGATTGAAAAGGCCATTCCTAAAAAGACAGATGTGACAACTTATCTGGATTATCAGCCGCATAAACCAAATATTTATCTGGAGCTTACTCACAAGTGGTCTGAAAAATATAGCAAAGAAAAGGACCAGTGGCTTACATGAGTTGCCATTGTGGTTGAGAATTCGACAATGAATCTATGACTGATAGATTGAGAAGATGTTGTGAGGAAGTGGTCTGACTATTTCTACAGCTTTGTTATAGAAAGTTTTCACTTTAAGGAACAAAGGTAACAACAAGCAATACTGTCCCTTCAGTTACTTTATTATATGAAGACTATGTTGGCTATGCTTAATATTGTATATATTGTTCTGTACTACAAATACTGTTTCCAGAGTATTTGAGTGATAGTACAAATAGACTGTTAAAAGAGCTAAATTCAAAATTGGCTGCAATTAAAATAGTTATATAAGATATCTGCATGCAGCTGATTTTTTTCCCCCATTTGGGGGGGAGGAAAACCACTCTCAAAGCAAAACAAGTTTAGAACCCATTTCAAATACAATTTGAAAAGCTGTAGTTGAGAAATAACTTCAAGCAAAGGTAATACTCACAACTAGTCCTTTCTCAGAAAATCTCTTGGATCAGAAGCTTGGAACAACTATGTACAAAGATATTTATCCAAGTCTATTGAAGATTAATGTATATATGATGCATGTTACTGTAAAAAGAAGAATTTCTCTGGGAACTTTTTAGTTCAAGAACCACTTAAAATTAGTGCTATGTAAGAGCACAGTATTGTGGTCCTGTTCAGATCTTGTTTAATCACCATGTGAATAGCTGGAATTGGTAATAAATTCCCTGTTATTATATTTAGTGTGCTTTTCATGAAAAACCTTTTATTTGCCTTTACTTTATTAAAATTAGGGAGGGAAGTAAAAATTTCATAATATTTCTAGACAGTAATAGTTTCAATTTAGTTATTTCTAAGAGGTGGTAAATTTCCACCCACTTTTTTATGCAAATCACTTCAAATAAAATTATGAAACAATCCTAATTCTCTTCCTCCCCCCCCCCCCCCCCCCCCAAAAAAAAAGGTTGAAGGAAGGAATTAAAACAGTTACCAACTAAAATTGAAATACTAGGAAATTTAAAGTGTCATTCAATTTATTCATAGAATAGTCTGACCTGGAAAAAGGACTTTTAACGGGAAGGGCTGTTCCTAATACAGAGAGCTGGGTGGAATGCTACCGGTTCTGCCCGGCTCTATAGAACCAGTAGCTCTGAAGTGCAGCAGACAAAGAACCGGTTCTATGTCTGCTGCTGTTTGGCCCGCCCGCCTGCCCAGGCTGTTACCTGACTTTTATTTCCTGCTTTTTCAACCTCAGCTGCTTTGCGTAGCACAGCTTGGGTTGAAAAAGCAGGAAAAAAGTGCTTTTTCAAATGCTGCGCACCCGCGTGTAGCGCTTATCAGCTGTCCGGACGGCACAGCTTTAGGTGTATTACACACGCATGCAAAACATAATCACCGATCCAGTAGTAACACCAGTTGAATCCCACCCCTGCTTAAAAGCCACATTTAGTTCTGTCCCAAACATCAGAATGTATTTTTTTTTTTAAAAAAAAGAAAATGGTCTAGCAAAATATCTTGCTTCTCAGAACAGGATCAGAATATGTTTTCACAAACATTCATTGTTAATCCTCAAGGTACAGGAGGTCATTTAACAAACATTCAAAGTTATACCAGACCCCACCCCCCAAAAATACATATGACCCTGTTTCAAAGTTACAAATTCTGCAAAGCCCACCTGGTCATTTGCAGAGATGCTGCCGTGTACCCAGCTATTTTCCCCCCACAATCTGCCCTGCTGCCCAAGGACACTGGACTTGCTTTACCTCCCACTGGGTTCCACATGGTCCTTGTCCTCTCCTCATAATCCCTCACTTTACCTTGTGAAGATCTGTAGAGCTGCGGAGGGAAGGAGAACAGGCCTCTCTTTTCTGGGCCATGTAGGAGAATTACACAAGTAGTGTTTTGTTTTGTTTTTTAATCCAATTGCCTGTGCAGCCTAGCAATGAAGCGACTGATCTGCATGATTGGTTGGCTTGGGAAAGCCCTGTGTTTTACAAAAAAAAATGTTTAATTCACTAGCCAAGCAACCCCTTTACCTATAAGAGCTAATTTTATAAATTATGAGCTGAATTTTATATTTCCTACCAAATCATAGATTATAGCTAATGCATACAAACCACACTATACAACCATAGATAACAATGTTCAGGTTTAAATTTGTTATACAACTCAACTTTCATAGATGCCAGGAAAGAGCTTTATTAATGTTATTTTCTTGCCAATAGAAAACTTAAGTGGTTATTGTTTATTTCTTAATATCACTTATTAATTACTGTGAATGTTTTATGAGTTGTCCCTTGCAAAGAAGGGATAGGCAGTCTGCCAATGGCAGAGAGCTTTGTGAAACAACAGCAAGCAAGATTATACAATTGAGTTTAGTTGCAAAATGGTCGATTCATCTGCCCCTTTGGAGTAGGTAGAATTTTAAGGAAGGAAATGGAAGCATAAGCTTACCATTCTGTCCTTTGATTACATGAACATCCCAGAGTGAAAATATATGCTGAAATATTTTATCCACTTTTAATGACATCACTATGTCATCACAACAGGTTGAACAGTGTGCAGACTGATCAGAGTAAGCATGCTTGAAATTGCATTACTGATATCTTAAGATGTCTCCAAAAATTTGACACTTTCATGTAGAGCATTTACAGTATTTTTAAAATAAATAACACTTCAAAGAAGGCCAGATGTCATATTGACAGAATAAAGAAGCTTAAGGATATCGTGAAGCTTAAGGATATCATGAAAGGAGAAGCATATTCTCAATTACTTTATTGGTCTACTCTTAACACCAGAGAAAGGGAAAGCCCTTGTCAGAAGAAATGAATTTTTCCTTGACTTGTCATACTCAATTCACAGATAGGAATTTAGGAATAATCAAGCTCTGAAAACAACGTAGCTATTTCTTTAGGCCAGGGTCTTCAAACTTGAAAGTTTTAAAACTTGTGGACTTCAACTCCCAGAATTCCTCCTCCAGTCATGTTGGCTCAGGAATTCACAAGTCTTAAACTTGCCAAGCTTGAAAACCTTTGCCTTAGGCACTTTGAATAATCAGATCAGTTAGCTAAGATTCTATATCATTTATTTCTCACTTCCATTTGCTCACTTGGAAATACGATAATCCATACAGAGGTGTATGGATTGAAAAGAGGAACCACATACATACATAGTGGGAGCTTCTAGACACTCAAGTGGCCAGCTTGCTTTTCAGAGTTGACAGCTGCAGCTGTGATTTCAAACAATCTGCCAGCTAAATAATAAGTCTTTCTCCTTCTCCCCTTCATCATAGAATATTGCTGGTTCCACTTCATTGGATATCTGAAGTTTGAAGAGTTATGCACAATTGTTCTGTCAGCTAGAATAATTTATAGCAGCGTTGTTCCTTTAGATGTTTAAAATCTTGAAAGAAAGCAGTTTACAGACGGATTACAGCATAGCCTTTCATTTTCAGTTTTTAGTGTTATTGCAACTGTTTAGCTATCTCATTGACTGTTCTCATCCAGTTTTAATAAGATTCCTTCATTTAATAATACAAGTTGCCCTTGTCCATATTTTCATGGATTTGGGTCCTACTTGGGTATTATACATGCACAACATGGCTTTTGATAAAGTATATTTGTTCAGTCTCATTAGCATAATCTGCTTATCAGCTAAAATGAATTCCACAAATAACAATAGTACATAAATGTTCTAAGCACAAAGCCTATCCATAATTTCAAGAATGGAATTTAAATCCAGTTAGACTTTACTCCTTTCACTTAATATACTGTTTTGGGCACATAGGATAGGTCAGGAGCAACAGGTAGCAAGTATAACACTGACTTATCAGGTATGTAGATTGTCAAGTGGGAACTTAACTCTTCAGTGTGCCATGATATACTCTGTTGGGTTCTATAAGATCCATGATAAAAAGCTGTTTCCTTGAAAAGACAAATTGAAATGTTTTAATAAACAGATGACCCTTTCATTTCATGAAATGTTTACGAGTACTAATGTTATTAAAATCCTTTTTTGACATTTTATTATTTGGATAATATATTGAACACTTTAGCTAACATTGAACAGTTATCTAAAGAGTCCATGGATAAATATTTTAGTGAAATATGCAGATAGTTTTTCTTGTGCTGTACTTATAGCAAAATGACTAGATATAGTTAAAATGACTTGCCATTTCTTCTTGGAGAAATGAAACAGAAAACTGTAAAAACAGTTCATAAATTAATGTGTATTCGGTTAATCTTGCTCTTAACTAAGTACATTGAGATTTTTGTAACCTCAAAAAATCTGCTAAAGCTTGTCAAGCGGCACATAGTCTATTCCTTTGATTAATTTAGGCAATTTATTCCTGCTCAAGAGAGCAACGTTTATAAGGAAGAAATAATTTTATTACTGCAATTTGCTCAGAAAACCAAATACTACAAAGTATTGATGCACCTAGGCAATTTTTCTCCCACATATTCAGAATGAAAAAAAATGATTACCCCAGGAAAGGAAATGCATATCCTTGTTTACCAGGTTTAAACAAACAACGCACCATGAATAATTTGGTGAGAGTTGTTATTTTGTATCTGCTTTGATCCTCAATAACAATGCATTTCAGAACTAAGGTTCCTATGAATATATAATTTTTGAATATTTCTACTCATATAGTAATTCATTTTCAATAAAACTGGAGAAATACTGCCCGTAGGGATGGCAACCTCCAAATGCCTATAAACTCTCACAAAATCCATGATCTTACACAAAAGAAAAGTCCATTTTTGTAAATTTCTTTCAATATTTGCATATTCATTCTTATTCAGATTCTATATGCAAATATTTTCCCATTTTGTCCACGTTAGACTTAATCACAAAAACAGTTAGGCATTGAACTCTGGTTTCAGAATTTTTCTTGTTACATACCGGTATTATCTGCAGTAGAAGATACATTAGAATTGGATAACTTGAACATACATTTTTCACATATGTTGAAGTTAAAACACATGAAGTGGGCGGGGAGGTTGTGGATTGATGAATACTAAACTTCCATAGGATCATTAAATAGTTGGGATTTTGTGAAATATGTTAGATGGCAATAAAACTGGATGGCATTAATAATTTCTAGAATGCCAATAGAAACGGATACCTGTCAGCTATCAAGAACTAACTTTATCAATTGAGCTGAAGTCTGCCATATGGAAAAGAATCTGAATATCTCAGATTAGATACACAATGCTTAGCTGATAGTTCTTTATTCTGCCACTCTTTGTTACTATTTAATTAGATTGATTTGTGTCTACATCGGAGTCATTAATTTACAAAACTGATAGCAAAGTTTCTACAGTCCGTTGAAGTCAATATGCTGACTTGTGTTTGTGGAATTCACTATGGTGGTTGCAGGCAAAAGCTAGATCAGTCAAAAGTTACTATTAGTTATTTAATTGCAGCTCTATCTAAATATCCAAGGACAACTGGATATTTAGTTTGAATAGTTAGTGTAGTAAGGCATTCTGGTTTGATTTAAAACCAGCAGTCTTCAGTGATGAAATTCAACCAGAGATTTTTCATAAAACTGCTTAATGTGAAATTTCTCTCTTGTATATATAAATAATTTGACTCATGGTTAATACTTTGAATAAGTTAGCCTTTAAAAATAGCACTTTGTGTATAAATAAAGTAGGTTATCTATTAGAGCTCATCATTTACCTCTTTTTACTAAATATTAACCTTATATGTTGCTAATTGTTGATTTTTTTATGGAAACAAACATGCTTGGTTACAAATGCTGTAATTCCCCTGATGTAGAAGTCAGATAACTGGACTCTTGCTTCTGTTTATTATTGATGTGGCAATCTTATATTTTTCATTTGGATGCCTATCCCCGAGCATGAAAAACATGATAAGCAGTGTCACTGGGTATAAATCAACTATGTGAGCTGCTTTATTGACTTGCTTAATAGTCAATATTTATATTGGCATTCTTTTGCCATGTTTTGTTCAACTAAAGCACAATGGGTTAGTGGAAAATTATTCATGGATACATTTCTGAAAATCTACTGGAAAATAATATATTTTACTGTAATACATGTTACATGTAATGTATATAA